TCTTAAAAAAGAACTGAATAATACACTGAAATCAGTTCTCTAATACTGCCTCCCAGGTGTGGGAGCCCTTACAAAGCAGAGAAGCAGGTCTTACATAACCCACGTCTGTCTCTACCCCACAGCCTCCATCCTCATTTCTCTGCAGCCCTGCTCCACAGGAGGCACCGACCTCCAGGGCTTCAGAGCCTCCAGTGCGCTCACTTAGAAGGAAGGAGAAAGCATCTCTGACCACTAAGATGTCTATGGGAAATGCTTACCGTCAGCTCAAGCTTGAGAAAACATCATCAGCTAGAACTGGCAAGTACTTAAAGCTTTTACTCCAGGGCATTGGTTCAGGCAAAAGTAATCATTAAATAAGGCAAAAGCAATCATTAAATAATATGACAGATTTCTCTAGATAGATCATCATCAAAGGTTAATGAAGACAAAAAACCAAGCAACAGCCCATTTAACTGGTAAAAAGATTTCCTGAGTACCTGCGGCTTCAGAAGCCAGAGCTGCCGATGCCACTTTCCCCATCAAGACCACATGGCCTTGGCAGAGGCTGCACCCTACGTTACAGGGTTCTAACTAGAACCCCGCGACCCACACATGTACCCCAACACGGCATAAACTACGAGAGCAGTGTGGCTATGAAACCAACACCGGCCCCATAAAGTGGGACCCTACCAAATACTTCCTTAACCCAAAGCAGCAGAGAAGGGCCAAAAAGGAAACAAAAGCCAGAAGGTGCAAGTGGAAAGCTGCAGGAAGGCGGACTTAAAGCCAACCATACCAAAATCACTGAGCACACAAAAGGACTAACCTGCCCAACTGAGAGGAAGAGACTACCAGACAGGAAAATGAAGCAAGACCCAGCCATCTGCCACCTGAGAGAGACAGATTTTAAACATGAAGACACAGGATAAAAGCACAAGAAAAATGGTTAGCATTAAGACGCGGGAGCAGCTCACTAGGTGAAAGGCTAAATCGGCTGGAGTATATTCTAACAATTAAACGTCACTCGGCAAATAAAAAAAGGCTACATACTTGATGGGGCTCCAAAGAATCATGCTGAGATAGCCAGACACCAAGGGCTAGCAGTCAGCCCAGTATTTAGAACCAAGAAAGAAAACGCATCAACACCCAACGGGAGCTCAGAAGCCAAAGCCGAGGAAGACAGGGCAGTGAGTACGCGCGACCAGTCTGCACCCTCCCCCCAGAGAGCAACTTGAATTCAGGCTTCCTGAATTAAGAAGACAGTTTAAATATATTGCACTTCCCTACTTCAACCGCAAATCATTAACATCCTACGGTAGTGGTATTAGAAGTTGGAGCAAATTTCCTTTTCATTTCCTCAAATTAACTTTTTAATCCGGGGAACTTTGCCTATGGAAAATATATTCAGAACCTGGAAAACTCAGTCACCTAAGCAACTGAAAACAGGCTCACTGAGTCACTGAGCAAAGGTCGTGTGCTGCAGGCACAGTGCCTCAGGGACCAAGGCCGCAGGGAGCAGGCAGACTGTCAGGGGAACTGCTTTCTCGGGAAGAAGACAGGAAATAACCAAACCCGTAAACAAAGCACGCACACACACACAACCTCTGTATGTGCAAAATTTACGCCCGGTGGTCGTGACAGGGCACACAGCGCTCCTGACCGGTGGTGGGCAGGTTGGTATCTCGGACGCCGACCCCTGTGCCAGGAAGACAGTCGTGCCAAGAAGTGAACGGAGCCCAGTGGCGAAGAAATGAATTTTCTAGAGTTTCAAAATGCTGCTCTGGGGGGAATTCTTTTTCTGCTATTCAAATTGCACATGGTGTTAAATAATGAATAATAATGAAGGAAGATGTGGATAACTGTCAACTGAACAAAAAAATAAAGAATCACCATCAACTTAAGTGTCATCTGCCAGCTCAGAGCACTTCCTAGGTAAGTGAACCAGGTAAAATGCAGGGCCTAGCAGACAGTCAGCGTTACCAGGGAATTAGCTCCATCACATGCATTCACAAGTTTCTGTTTGACTCTTAAATATGCTAAGTGCTTTCTGAAAAATTAAGCTTAGGCCAAAGATGTCTTGCAGGGCCTCCCTGGTGGTGCAGGGGTGTATGTCGCAGCACTATCAAGCTATCTCCAGCCACTTCCGCCTGAGTTTGATTCCTGACCAGGGAGCTGACCCACAGGGCGCAGCAGACCTCTCCTGTCTTGCCTGCTGCTCCCCTCTGCAGTGTGTCTCAGTGGACCCCCCTGTTCCACTCCCCACTCTGTCTCTGGTGAGTCCTTTCACCCCTGCACCTCTGACCTGCACTTCAGCTCTTGAATGCATTAATTAAAAAAAAATCTTTTGCAACTCAAGAATTAATTGCAAACAAGAAAGATCTGTGGTGACTCCCAATAGTTTGTCCCTTTACCCCTCCTTCCAAAAAGAATCTGAAGCAATTTCACAAGGCAAGATGAATTTATGCACCCATACATCCATCTACAGATGCACACACTCTTACTTCCCTCCAAACCAGGTGAGAATAAAGTGAGCAGGATGACATCACAGATTCAGTGCATACATAGGTAGACAGGACAGAGATTAAAAACCCAGAAACGCACAATTACTTGTGTTTCAACCCCAAATCAATCTTTTGTACTAAGCAAAAGACACTGAAGAGCGCTATCACGTGTCAGGCCTAGCGTTTAGCGTTAATAAAATTAAATCAGAGGAAAAAATCCGACTCTTCCTTAAGGCTCTGTCCTCATTAATGCAACGAGCTCAAAAGTAAAATGGGAAAAGGGGGCAGTAATGTCAGTTGGTAGTACAGCAACAGAATCATTCAATGAGACTCCAAAAACTTCCATCTGAGTCTATTAAAATAATGTCAGACTTGCCGGAGACATAGAAGGGAGCCGGACAAGCTTGCAGCCACTCACTGACTCACTCCCCTCGCCTGAAGCAGGTGGGGACACCTGCGCCTGCTCCAGTAACAGGATTTACACACTTCCTCCTCTTCCAAGATGGCTCAAGTCTCCTATCTATTAAGTCACATTGCCTCAGAGCAAACATTACGCTTTACTTCTACTGACGGACCAACTGATACAAGTAAGCTCCCCACTTAGGGGGACAAGGGGACCTCTCTTCCTAATCTGAGCCCAAATGCCACCCTGCAGTAAGATGCCTGTGAAGTAAATTGTCTAGGTTCCTAGTGGGGACGTGACAAAGAGCAAGTTGTTTTCAGTTCCTGACAATGAAGGATTCAAATTCCAGCTCAGCCACTTAACAGAGGGATGTCATTTGGGGCAAGTTTTGTAACATGACCAAAGCTCAACTATTTTGTCTATAAACTGCAAGAGAAGAGCATATCCAGACTTTATTTACAGGGACCTGAGACTGAATGATCCATACTAGGCTGCAGGTTAAACCAATACATGTATTAATGTAACCTATAGTTCTCAAGATTTTGTTCCCCGGGGATGTCTAGAGATGGTTTTGGTTATTATACCTGTGGCGGGAGGGGGGGGGAGGACCGCAGGGGGGCAGCAGGATGAGGGAATGCCCCACTGGCATCTAGTAGCTAAAGCCAGGAATGTTGCTAAACATCCTACAATGAACAGGACAGCCCCCCACAACTAAAAGTGTCCTAGCCCATATCAAATGTCAACACTGAGAACCCATGACAGCAGAATACTTAACATGTGGCAAATGCTAGTTAATAGAATGTGTTCTCTTTCCACTAAAACCCCCAACTCTTTCACAACAGGGGCCTCGAACTGTGCGTTAACAGACCCAACCCAAATATTCCAAGTTGAAATTGTTCTCCTGGCCGGCATGCCAGCCAGTGCCAACACAGATTCATAAACTGGAGTTCCAGGAGAAACACTGGACTTGGGAGGTCCAAAGCACGCCTGAAATTTAAATTTTGCTATTTTCTCAACGACAGGCACATTAGTTTTCATTTTTCCTGCGCGCCAGCCTGTACCATACGCTGGCCCTTTCTCCGGTTTCAGGAAACACCAGGCTTGTCCAGCCTCAGGACCCTTGTACCTGATCTTGCCTTTGCCCTGGACATGTTCCCCAGACCTGCACCATGGTGACCTCTTCCCCTTTTTGTGTGAGCTTCCTCTGGACTTCCTTAAATCACCTTTCTGCCTCACCCTCCTGGCTTTTATCCCTGCAAGGCACTTACGGAAACCTTTTAAAATCAGATTAATTTACCTGTTTACTAGCTGTCCCACCCACTGGAATGGAGCGCAAGGCCTTTCATCCGCATCACTCACCTGCAAGCGCGCGCCCCACGGAGTGGGTGCCCTGGGTGCCCGTAAACAGCTGTCAAAAATCAATGAGTGCAGGAACACTCGAGGGGGCTCGCTCGCCAGGAGCTGTGAATCACCAGAGCAACACATGGAAATATACGAGCGTCCAGGAGCCTGAGAGCGGTGACAGGTGCGTCCCAGGGAACCCCAGCAGCTGGCGAGTAGAAGCGAGCCCACCTCCGTCGGTACTAAAGGGGGGTGAAGGGGCGCCGGGC